GGGGTGGGGGGGAGGGGGAGGGGCGGACACGCTGGCTCTGTCGTGCCTGTTTGCCGGCCTGGACCTGATACCGAGTGTCCAGGGTGGGGAACCTGTTCCAGGCTGTTTTATTGAACGCGCATCGCGTCTGGGTGGACCCGCCGCGGGACAGCAGCAGCTGCTGCTCGCGCCGCCGCCGCCGCACCGCCGCGAGGACAGGACTTGCTGAGGAATGTCGCTGTCCACTCTCTGCCTCTGCTGGGCAGAATTGCAGTGCCGCGGCGACTCTGTACGACGGCCTCGGCTCCGACCTTGGCCGCGTCCTCTGCTTTGGCCCCGCGACCTTCCTGCACCAGAGCGTTCACATGAGGCCAATACATGTCACGTGCTGCTTGCGTGCGCCGCGCCCGAGCAGAAAGTAACCGAACTCTGTAATGTGGCGTCCTGAAGCGATACGGCCGGAAGAAAAGCCTGAGCGCTTTGCGTCAGGCCCATCCCCCTGGCACTCCTGCGGCATCCGCCCGGACGGCGGCGGGACGGTACAAGACAAGCCGCTCCGAACCGAAGAGAGATTTAAGCCTTGCTTTCCGCCGTGTTGAGGGACCGGCCCTACCGGGCCAAACATAGATATACGCGGTGGGGGAGGACTTAAAAGAACGCTGTTTTATGAGTTTTTTCGGAAGTCTTCCCTCTGCACCTTGTCGTTGCAGTGTGCGTTCCGCGGGGGGTAGGAGCCAGGCGGGGCCGGGGGACGCCGCGCACGCACTGAGCACCAGTCATCACGATCAGTTACATGACTGTGTAGGTACCACTGCCGTCCCGTTGCAAGCAGGACGGCGCCGCCGGGATGCTGTTCTGCAGTACAGTAATTCCAGTTGACTGCCGCCGGTCGGCGTATAGTGGCTTAGATGCGGCATTAGTCCGTCTGTCGGGCTGCCGTCCGCACCGCCGCGCCCTCGCATCGAACGCATCTGCATCTCAATCTGATCCACCTCCCGAGGGGCGTTTCTAGAGCCTCCCACCTGCCACTTCCTACCTGAGGTCTGCAGCCGACCTTTGCACTCATTTCGCTCCGTTTTTTCTGTTTCAGACTAGACGGCCATCGCGACCATGGCGGGGGTGGTGAATGGCGTGCAGCAGGTCGTAAGTAGCTGCCCTGCCACCGACAGCGGCAAGTGTGACGCTTTCGACCTGGTCCCTGACCTCGGCGATGTTGTGGATAACTTTTCGTTTTCCGCTAACACCAATAACGACCTGCTTGCCCCGAACCCCACGACCTGTGCAGACACCGATCTGAGCCTGCAGGACCTGATCGATTCGGAGCTGGCGCTCAGGATAAAGGCGGACAAGACCGAGGTACTTGTCGACCTGAACAACGACGAGGAGGTAGAGGAGGCCGAGTCGGAAGAGAGTCAGCTTAACAGTGTCGAGAGGCGGCCTATCGTCAACGGCGCCGTCCACGGCGTTGCAAACGGCGTCGTCAACGGCAACCTCGTGACGGACTTCCTGGACAGCGAGCGCAGCCACGCAGACCTTACAGAGGAGCACGCGGAGCAGGACAACAGCCTGTCGCTCTCGCTGTCGCTGTCTAGCAACGCGGCCCCGCTGTGTAGCGGCGAGGGTGACGACTTGGACATGACGAGTGAGCTGGGCAGCGACGGCCCCGCCGACAGCGACTTCTCCCCCAACGTCCCGGACCAGGCCGCGGACGCCCAGCGAGGCTTCCAGGAGGAGGCCGACTTGGAGCCGGACCTGCTGGCGGACGAGGCGACGCTGGCGGAGGACATCTCTCTCGCGTCGGAGCGGAGCCAGGAACGAACCGGCTCCCTGCTGGACCTTGACCCCCTGCGGCCAGACAGCCCCCCGGGCTCGGGTCCGGGCCCCGGATCGACGAGCCCTACCGGTCTGCGCACCAGCCCGGGTGCCAGCCCGGGTACCAGCCGCGGCACCAGCCCTACCGGCTTCGGCCTCCTGGACGCGGAACCCGCGGAGCGAGAGCTGCAGTTGGCGGCGGAGGGGGAGGAGGGCCGACGCTCGTCCCCCCTCGGGCCCCTCCTCGGGCCGTGCTCGGAGGAAAGCGGTGCCGTCTTGTCAGCTGCCGCCGCCGCCGAGCAGCAGCAGCACCTTGCGGCGTCGGCGTCCATCTCGGTTCCCTTCCCCGCAACCGTCGTCGACGACGCTCTAGAATCGGCGTCCCCGTCTCTGGATGCAGACGATGTGGATGATGCTGTGAACGATCAATCTCTGCAACAATCGACGTCCCCCGTCCTGCCCACCACCCCGTGTGTAGACGCTAACCAGCCTGCTCCCCGTGTGGTGAATAACAGCATGGATGTGTTCCCGAGTGCAGTGCCCCCCGCCGGCGACCCCTCTGGTTTCGAGGATGGCTTTGAGACCTGGAGCACTGTGGAGGAGGTCGTTGCCCAGGTTGGGGAGAACACCGAGGCAGAGGCCCTGGCGGAGGCTCCCCTTAACTCTGAGGAGGCCGAGGTAGAATCAGGGGCCCAAATCAGCTATAACTCTGATGTGAGTGTGATCAGCTTTCTGATTTGCCGATAGACCTAACCTAAACCCGTTGTTGACATTTGACAGCTCGGGTTTGTTGTGAAAAGCAAGTACCTCTTTGAAAAAGCCTTACCTTCAGGATTGGCTTATTGATCTTGGGAAGACAGGGCAGGTACAAGGATAGTCATTTAAATTCATGCATGATTTTAGAATCTGCATCCACCTTGTATCTGCAACAAGTTTTCAGTCTTCCTTTGTTAAAGTTTTGACTTTGTCATCTTTTTTGTGTTATTTTGCTCTCTAACTCCACTTTTTAATGTTTGTAAACAAAATAACTTTGTCCAAATAATTTACAAGAAAACAAGACTGTTTGGGATTTTATAAAAGTCTTGACTCTGCCTGATAGCAACAGGTGTCCTTAACATACACTTGTTCATATTTCATCTTTCTTCTTAGCATGCTCCACCTATTATCTGACCACAACAGATTAATTTTTATTTTTACAGTCAGAGACTGTGTCTGAGACGTCTGAGAAGAAGACAGTTTCCAAGAAAAAGAAGGTAGATGGAGCTGAGACAACTAAAAAGAGAACCAAAAAGAGCAAAAAGTCGGATGGAAAAGAAAATATATCAGTTGTGAGTATTGCTACTGTTCGCTTGTATGCTGTTTTTGATTGTGCATGCTAGACATTTCATGTTCTTCAGGAAGCATGGGTACAAGTGGAAAATAATTTACTTTGATGTTATGAATAGAAATTTTATACATTTCTTTTTTTTACACGTAACTGGTACGTTTGTATCATTCTGAAATCATCTTTATTGTTATGTTTAAATTTTAAAACCTGGTACCTTTGTTGTGGTAAGTAGTGGGTGTTCATGTTTGAATCTTCTCCAAAGATTGATGAGTGTTACTTGTTGATTTTTTTTTCTTCATTTGCATGGATAAGTGGTTTTTAGCCTCAATTATTTGGCGGGTAACTTTCTTTGTACCCACATAATAGTTGTTTTATTTGTTTTCTTTTCATGTTCGTTTCTGCTGTTGTTTATTAGCTAACTAATGGGCATGGAATAAATGGTCATGTTGAAAAGAGAGCAGAGAATGTTAATGGTATTAACAATATCCCTCACAGTAATGGCTATGCTGACCATGCGGTTGTAGAGGATGATCTTTCCAATGTTTGTGTGAAAGATTTGGTAAGTCTTGCTTAGTACTAAAATTTTGTGCAGCATGGTAATGTTGACATATTTCATGTTGGTCGTCATTTAATTCACCATGTGTGGGCACTCATTTTTAAAAAAAATGGAATCATTCATTTTATCATGGCCCTATGGAGGAAAATCTGACAGCTATTCTTCTGGCAAGTAACATATGGGCTGAGAGTTTTCTTATCTTATCTATTGTGGATGTCATATCCTAACCAATTCTTATCTCTTCAGAACACTCTGATGACTATCAGAGAAATGTCCTAGTTTCTAATGTAAATAGTTGTTATGGAGTGTAATGAAATATATTTTGAATGACGCATATATTCAAATGTCAAGAAAACAAATATTTGCAGCAGGTGCTGCTGTAGTTTTGAGTTCATGGGTCATTTTTAAAGTACTAAGAAGAAGCAGGATATTCACTAATGTCCAATGTAGTGAAAATGATTTTCAAGTAAGCCGGATTGAATTGAAAGATAGATGCTCTGAGTTCTTTTCCCTTCATAGCTGTCATATTTCTGTATTGTAGGCCTATTGGGAAAGGATTAATTAATATTCATTCATCTGAAGTCCCATTCATATCTGATATATACCTCATGACTATTCAAGATTACAGTGCTGCATGTTATCATTTCTATTGGTTTTGACATTATGTTTGTAGAATAATAAACTCCCGTATCAAACCTGAGTGGTAAGAAGCTTGGATTTTGTGGCTTATGGACTTATACGTTTGTTGGTATGTTGTGTAGAAATCTGCTTATGCGACCCTCACTAAAACAGAGGTATCAAAAGAAGTTGTCAAAGATCTGAAGGATATTGACCATGACATCATGTATTGCGGACCTATCAAAAACCTTGTAAGTAGCATTTTAATTACAGTCCCAAGTTTTCTTAAAATATGAAAAAGACAAGAGACAAAAGAGAACCTGTAAACTATCATTAATATCCACCAAAACCTGATAAAAATGACTTTCAGTTTAGCTATGCGCGTAGTCTTATTCCTGTGCACTTGCACATTTGTTTCCAAGTAGTTTTGTAACGGTGTGCTATTTTTTTATTGCTTGTTCTTACATAATTTGAAATTAGTTTGCCAAAGTTCAACAATTTTCTAATTGACTTCACCTTTTTTCCCTTTTGGGTGTGTAGAAACAAACGTACTGTAGTGAGGCTATTAAAGAGTGTAATGGGAACCAGTCACCTGACAAGAAGGAGTGTATAGCAACCGGCATCTCCATAAGGGATCTGGTAAGGGGAGTACAGTTAAGGCACTGGTGAATTTGGTCTGGTTTAAGCTTGCCAACCGCCTCTAACCAAAGCTGCTCACATTCTTGGCATTGTAAGGGGGACTTAAATAAACTGCTTCCAATACTTTTCAGGATGTGTCCGTCTTGAAATCTATTTTTTACTGAGTCAGTACTTAGTGCATCCTACTAACTTGTCTATGGGTTTCTTTCCTTTACACGTCTCCTTCAATTAAGTTGTAACAAAACCAGAAAAACAAATCAGGAACATTTTATTTGAGTTATGGTTTTCTTGTTTCATGATTCAGATTTGTATAATGCTGTCTCCTGAACATATGTTTACTTTTTTATTTTATCATTACAAGTTTTTGTCCAAAGGGCAGCGCCCTGTGGTGGACTTTTATAAATTGTACAAAGATGGCCTCGGCGGGCAAAAGGAGAACATGTTTATTTTACATCCAACTCCAGAAGGAGAATTTAGACTGATCAGTCACAAATTAAATTAAATTGTTATACTTTCTCAAAATGTATGTTCTTCTTTCTTTTTTCAAAGACTTGCTTGTGATTTTTGTTTACTAACCCCTGTTTTGGTCTCTTTGTACCATCTGCATGACAATCATTGTAGCTTTGGCTCTATTTGCTTGGAAAATTATTTTGAAACTTAAAACCAAGGAGTGTTTATCTAACTCACCATTGTCAAATTGACCTGACGCAGCTTTTGTGACTAACTCCTTGTTCCTTTGACTCTTTTGTGCATGAAACTCAGAGGCGGAGTTTTGGAGATTTGAGAAATTGTGAAAATTCTGAGAATGGAGCTCAATTTCCACCAGATGAAGAAATCTGCAATGATGGGGTAAGTCAGAAAATAATAAGACCTCATTTAAGCACTCCCATTCAAATATGCCTGGAAGCCCACATATCACAACCAATGCAATGTATTTTCAAGAACACCACAAACCACAAGCACCATCATCACCTCTGCAGGTTGTATTTTGTTGTTTTTTGCTCCCTTTTGCATGCTCTTTTTTTTTTTGGATTGATTTTTCTACCCTCAACTCTGAGCATTCTGGTTTACTGCATGAAATATTTATATAGTTTTCTAGGCAGATTCATCTTAGTATGTATTTGAGAGCATGGCAGCATGCATATCTTTGATTCTTCTTTCTTACATAACATTTTTCTTCTGACATGTAGGCTAGTCATTCTTTTTTCCCCTCACCTATATATCAACCATTTATTAAAGTTCTTTGTGCACATCAAAATATTTATTTGAAGCAATGTGCTTATTACTGTCTACAATTAGAAATCTTAATTACATCACCTGCACTGCATGTCCTGTGCTTGTGCTCACTGTCCAATATTTTATCAAACCCATTTGTTTTTTGCTTTTCAACTGTAAATTTTGGCAGTGTTCCTTTTAAGTTTATTGTCATTAAGTTATTGCCTGATAAAAGAGGCTTCTGGAAAAAATTTCTTGCAAACTAATTTGTCAAAGCATGAGCATATTTGTTATTGTTGGATGAACGTTTTTTAAGCTTTTCTTGTATCTTGGTGTGCTATTTTATTTTGTGTGTTTTACACACATGCAGAAAGCGCGTTCTCTTGGTGATTTGCGACGTCTTTCAAGAGACCTCTATCGACCAGAAACTAACAGCAGTACAACATGCTCTCGGAAACCCATCCACACAGGTGTCTCTGTTAAGGCATTGGTAAGTTCTCTCTTCACATTCATATTTTCATTTTCTTACATCTACTCTTCATTCTAATCTTGTCTGGTTATCAAACTAAAAGGGATAGTTCTTGTTAGCTTTTATTAGGTTATTATATTTACTTACTCTATTATTGTATGAGTTCTCTTGATTATTGCACCTATATTTAATGAGAGGAACATTTGGTTATGTTGTTGTCTGGGTAGCTAAGTGTAGCAGATTGGCAAGAGGAGTTTATTTTGAAAGCTTACTGTTCTTTTGGTTTTCTACCATGGTGATTAGCTTTGGCATTATTTACTGCATGTGTTATCCTTAGATTCCATTTGTGGAAATGATCTTAATTTATCGTGGATTGAGTTGGTTGACAAACTTGCTTGTTTACCTGTCAGTCTATTAGGAATTTTGTACTGTCCTATTTCTATATAACAATCTGACCTAACTTGGCATGATGCTGGCTTTGTGCATGCAGCGAGCGAGCTATTGCAGCCTCATTAACCTCAACGAATCAACAGTGTCTGACTCTAGGCGTGTTATGTCCAACTCCGATGTTTCAATATCATCTTCTGTGGTAAGTTAAAAATTCATCTTGGATCAAAATTTATTTCCTGAAATTCGAGCAGACTGGGTAAGTGTTGTATTATTAAAAATTTGAGGTGGTGCAAAAAGTCTTTCTTCATTATCTCTCTGTGATAGCCATTTACAAATTTTTTAACTTCCTAAATAGGAAAGTTACATAAATCTAATCCAGTTCAAATGAGAGACTAAATCTTCTTCTTTTTTTTATATATTTTAGATTTTAAACAAGTTCATTTACATACAACATGAAACTAATCATAAAAAAATGATTTTTGCTTGTTTCAGAAATCCAGCTTTAGCAAATTTGATCAGCTAAGCAAGAAGACAGTTCTGCATGTTCGATCGGTTGATGCCTCTAAGGTTCAAAAGCAGTTTAATGAGGTATACCATTTAAAAAATAGATTTGCTCTTCTTTTCATCCCCACATTTCTTTGTGATGTAATTTCTTTCCACTCATTCAGTCTGCCAGTACATCTCCTGAAGCCCAATCCAACTGCAAGGCTTGTGGCAAACAAGTCTTTGTCATGGAACAGATAAAAGCAGAAAAAGCTGTGTGGCACAAAAACTGTTTCCGCTGCAAAGAGTGCAGCAAGCAGTTAACGTAAGTTTTTTTTTGCCTATCCTTTCTGTTTATTGGGTAAGTTTATTTTCTCATAATCTATTCATCTTTCTACGCCAGAGTGGACACATACAGTAGCAACGACGGAGACATCTTTTGCAAACCTCATTTCCGTGAACTTTTCAAACCCAAGGCAGTTGTCGAAGATAGCCCGGAACCAAGTAAGTTTCTTTAAATATTTTATTACTTTTTTCATTACATTTGTACTTTGGTATGTTCAATTCATAGACTATGTAGCATATGCCTTTATCTCTGTTTTATTATGGCAGTAGATGTATACTGTATCTTAGTTTCAAATTCAAGAAATTCAATTTTTGTTAGGAAATTATCTATCTTATGGTTAACTATCTGCATCTCAAACTTGTGTGTGGTTGTTTAGTTCGTCGCAGAAAACATGAACTTATCATCCGTGAAAATCAGCCTCTGGAACTTCCACCAGATGTTGTCAGAGGTAGATTTAATTGTGTGTGTACCACAGCATTTGAAACACTGCTTTTTCCAGTTTGATACTCCACTTACCTTTGCGTGAAAGTATCAAGTCATCACATACAAGCACTTGGTTTTCTTTTTCAGGCATGTTAATAACCAAGCAGTTCTGTTTCCTTTTCTTTATTTCCATTCACTGACTTCCCACTGTCTTTTTATTATGTGTCACACTCCTCAAGAATAATTTCTGGTGTAAATAATATTACAGTACTTCTTGTAGTTCTTGATGAGATTGAGAGCTACCATACCTTCTCATTTTGCATGATATTTTTCTCAGCTTCACATCTAAAACTGTGGTTTCTCAAGCCTATGTCAAATTTCAAGTGTTAACAACACACAGTCTTCTTTAATTTTTTGTATTACCTTTTTAAAAAGGACTAAAACCAGTTTTTGCTTACCCAAATTATACAGCGCATGAATCATGGAGAGTGAGTTAGCTGTTCATATGGCTTCTAAAGCATAATACAAAAGTCATAAAATTTCATGGCACTAAAATCTTATCAATACTGTTAAACACCTGCTGTTTTCTTGTTGACCAGTATTCAGCTTTTGTAAGATCTGCCTGAAAGCTGCCGTAACAGTTCTTATTCTTAAATTCTTGTTGATTGCCCTTCTTCTACTCATTCATTCATCTTTTTTTTACAGCCTCAGACAAACCAGACCTAGGCCTGGAGGAGCTGTCAAGTCTCAATGTTAAGTCACGTTTCCAAGTTTTTGAAAAAACTGAAGAGAATAAGTCACTTGACATTGAGAAATCTCCAAGCAATGTGAATGTGAAACGCTCTCCAAGCATATTGAGCAAGCTTGCCAAGTATGTCTGATGTCAGCTAGCTGCTCTTCTTGTGTATTACAGTATATTCTCGTATACTATATATCTATCTGTTACAGATTTCAAGCTAAGGGTATGGATATCGGTGTAACTGATGAGTCCCTTAATGGCATTCCTTATGAAGAAAGCTCCACATCAAGTGAAGAGGAGGAGGATGATGGTGAGGGTGGTGAGTGTGTCAGCTTTGCTTTCAGCATTTAATTGATTTACTTAATAAGCTTGCTGTACACAAAGTGCAAAAAGGACCCCTATTGAATTTGGTGTGAAGTCAAACTCCTTTTTAACTAGTAGCTTTTAAAAAATTAAAAACTTTCAGCTGTCAAAGCAAAAAATTTGGTCTGTCTCGGGGTTTGACCTAAAGAGTTCCTTTGATCTCGCAGAAAAACACATGTGCATAGATAAATTATTAATTTAATGGAAAGCTTATGTGGAACATTCGAATTCAGTCCCCAAAATTATTTTAGGCTTTAGCGCCACCAGTTTTTTCTTCTGATTTCAAGTGTCTTCTGTAGGCTAGGCTCTGAAAGTATGTCTAATCAATCAATCAAAACTGAAGGCAATTTTTAAAAAAAACGTAAATGATTCGCAAATCTTCTTCTTGCATGCATTACCTACTCCACATTTTCATTAAGAAGCTTCTAATGAAAACTGAAAAAAACTTAAGTTTGCCTCAGGATGAAGGCATTTCTTAGGACCCTCAGAAATTTTTGATAAATGATGGTTACAATAACATAACTTTAGAAAATGGATTTGTCCTAACCATCTTAACCATAAACATTGATTTTAACTATCACTGTATAATTCTTTACTTTCCCTTTTTAGATGAAGAAAATGGGGACATTGTGAAGTCGAGGCGCACTGCGAGGGAAAGACCTATGAGTTTCAGCAAAATGGAAGATGTAAAGAGTCGTTGGGAGACTGGTTCTGCTACAAAGAAAGAAGAACGTCGAGAAGAACGCAAGCAAGAAATATCAACTATAAGATCTCGCCTATTTCTGGTAAGCTGTGGTATATTGTTGATTTGGTATCCATGGATACTTTTATAATAACGTAGTAGTACCACCTTTTCAATTTTAGATAAATATTTTTTTTAAATGTTATGTTCCGGCTTATTTTTCAATGTTTTTTGCCTCTGTGTCAACTGACATACAAAAAATCGTTTTCCCATCAACAAACTAAATCTGAGGTTTTACTGTCTCTGTTTGCCTTCTTCAAATCTTTTCTTTGACTTCTTATTGCAAGTTTATTTATTTCAGGGTAAACAAGGAAAGATGAAAGAAATGTATGAGCAGGCTGTTAAGGAAAGTGAACAACCTGCGGCGCGTCGAGGAGCGGAAGTTCGTTCCGAAAAGGCCAAGTCTATAAAAGAGAAGTTTGAGCGAGGGGAAACTTTGGTATCAGATGAAGAGGGAGACGAAAATGATAAGAAAATGAAGGATGACGGTGCCTTTGATGGTGTCTTTGAAGCTGGTATGTTAATGGATGGTGTTAAACTTCAATTTTACTTTGTTTTGGCAGAGTTGTTAGTTTGGTATGATTGAACTTTGAAAATGTTTCAGGTATCTCTAAAAAGTCAAGGTCCTTATTTTTGGAACTGGATGCTTCTGCTGCCAAAACAGCCCAACAGACTCCTCCACGTCAAGTATCTCAAGCAGGAAAAGATGGCACTAAAAAGCGGGAGGTACGAAAAAAAACTTAGGGAATTGTAATGTAATACATGGTATTTTATTCTTAGCCATCCTCATGTTTTATTTTATTTTATTCAAATTCTCTTGTGGGTCTATTCTCAGGTCTTGACTAATCAAGTTTCTAGTGAAGTTGTTAAAGCATCCGATAAAGTTGAAGATGCTCAAGCTGAGACCGCTGATGTATCTTCTAAATTTAAATTTTTTGAAACGTATAAGGCACCAGAGAAGCAGAGGAAAGCTTTCCGAATCACACCACCAAGAGAGGGCCAAGTGAAGGTCAATTCTGTGTGTGTGTGCGCACGCTTTTCAAAGTCCTTTTGTGTTTCATAAAATAAATCTCGAATATCTATCTAACAATAATAATTCTACTAATTTTATCTCAATTTTGATGAACTTTCTAACATATGATTGGCACTTCTAATTTCCTTTACACACATTTTGTGGAACTGAAACTTTCCCACTACTCGCTTTTAATTCTTTTCAATTTCCTACTACTTTAAAAATATATTGAAAAATGTGCTATTTACCCTTTCTCTAAGGTCTCTGAGTGTGCTATAGCATGTGTTTTCTTCAGAATATGTAAGCATTTAACAAGCAGTTTTATCTGAAACTCACTGTAAATCTTTGTTTTGTTTTTTTATAGATGGACTCTCCAGAACGAGAAGTTTACAGGGATCCTGATGTTGTTCGTGCGGAGGACCCTCCAGAAGGTGATGAGCTTCAACATAGTATGACCACATCAAAGATGCTTTCAATCTTCAGGCAAATGGAAGAGAAAGCGCAACGTGAAGATGTCCCAGATGGTTTGTGAATTTCTTTTTCTTATGCTTTGGTGCCATTATAACTCATTTGTGTTGCATGTACCTTATTTTTATTTTATAGGTCCTAAACCTTTGAAGTGCTTCACACCACCACCAGATTACAAGCCTGAGTCTGGCAGTTCAGAAGATGACCGATCTGATGAAGATGAGGAGGAAGATGATGAAGAGGAAGAGGAAGAAGATGATGATGGTGTTATCCGCTCATCTGTTAAGGCAGAGGATGAATTCCTTAAAGCAGTATGTTATTGCTGTACAGTCATGTGATTATATGTCTTTCCTTTTTTGTTTTTATTACATGACCAAACTTTATCATCTTTTTTAGGCTAAAGAAGCTGCAAAAGCAAAGACATTACGTGCTAAATTTGAACACTGGGAAGAACAGGAAAACAACATAAATGCAGGAGGTGGAAATATTAATCCAACTCTCTTGGAATCAGAACATGAGAGTATTGAGTCCACCAAATCCTTACGAGCTCGATTTGAGTCTCTTCGTAAAGAATCTGAAGCACCCAAGGAAAAGCCTAGACCGAAAGTGAACCGATTTGTGGTAAGTCCAATTACTCAATTTTCTTGTATTTTATGTCTGATCTGATCTGCTGTTGCTGCTAGCCTTTACAATTTATTTGCTCCTGTGTGATCATAATTACATACATTACATTGTGCACTGAGTGTAGTGAAATCAAACGCTTAAGTATTTTGTTGTAACAGTACGAAATCATTTTTTTTTATTATTATTAAGAGATTGCATCAAGTTTTCTTTTGTCTCTTCAGTCAATGATGAACTTGAAGGCTCAAGTTCAGTTCAACTCTTGAGACAAGTGTGAACTTCTTGTTTCTTACATCTCAGGATTACAATTACATACACAAACCATTCTATTACATAAAACTTGACTCTGGACATATCTTCTTTCGCCTGTAGTATGATTATGTCTATTTAGAAAGGAAAACAAGAACATACTAAACTTATTTGGTTTTGAGCCGCATCATTTTTCTGATTTTGATTTTCGATAGTTTAGGTGAGGCTTAGAATAGAACAAATACAGTTCTTATAGCAAGCACAGTAAAATGGTACTACGTAGTACCATGGGAATTGATGATGCGTATAATCATTGTCTTCCTTTAATTTTGTAAAGTGTAGCATGACATGTAACACACATTGTAGGAAATTAAGAGTGTTTCCCTTCAGCTTTGTTGAATTTTTGTAGTAACTAATGCAAAACTTCTGTACATTTTTGTTTTGTACAATTTGTCAGTCAGCTTGCATGTTTCTAATAGTACTGCAACTTTTATAATTTTACCAAGAATTACCTAATTGATTTTGTTTACTGTGTTTAACTTATCTGTATCCCATCATTTTAAGGCATGATTGTATTTGAAAATATTTACAGCATGAAGCTTTATTGTTTTTGATCTTTTTTTGAGAGTTCTTCTATGATTTTAGGTGAGTGCATGGAATTTCATAGGTGAATTTTCTATCTAATTTTTTTGGTTGATTTTTTTCCTTCTAAATCATACCAAAAATTTAAGCATTCTGATTTCCTTAAAATGAAAGTTACAATGCACACCCTCCTCTGTATACAAATCTAATGAAATCCTTTTGTCTCTTTTGTTACAGTGAAAGACAGCTTTTACTCTTCAAAAGCAAGATTATTGTGATGGACAGGATGAAAAGTAGATCACTCATATCTACATAATTGTCATAAGATTATTTTTGTTTCAATGATTTATTAATGTTGATAATCCTGTAATTTTAGGAAATGTTTTCTTTGTCATTTGTGTATGCCCTGTAATATTACACCTATAGATTAACTTTCATAAAGTCCTATCATTTGTAGAGAAACTGCTTTAGCTGAGTACCTGCCTGCCTGTGTGTATGATGGATCTACCATACTGGGTGATGTTTACTTCCACTTTGGTCTCCAGAATTGAGAATGTTTGTAAATTTTTTATGTAGTTGAATTGAGTGTTAGTGAATATTGAATCTATCATAATGATTACAAACAGGTTTGTTGGTACACATTATGTTTACTGTTCCTTTCAGTTAGTTATCTCATTTTACATGTGCTATCCATGTAATACTTTTGTGATCAAGAGCTCTTCCTAAAGCTCCCATTTTTGATATTGTTGATGAAGTAAGGAGGTTATGGCAACTCTTCAAGTACTGAAATAGGAGTGACAAATTTGTTAACTTCATAAAATTCTTCATTCATTATTGTGTCTACATAAGATTTTTACGATAACAATAACTTAACTTACAGTACTGCTGTCTGTGTTACTGTTATGTGACTTCAATGAGAAACTTGAGTTACAATTCTGACAGGTGTTCTAAGCAATATAATTGCATGATTGGGAAGCAGGCAGTACTACAATCACAGTCATCAGATTGTACTGTTGAAAGTCTTGGTTTGTTGCTATCTTAAATTTCCTAAACTCGGAATTATGGACCATTTTCCCTCATGACTGATCTTATTTGTTTTTGTTAATCAAACATTATTAATTATGAATCCGAAATTGGTGACTCACGACAGTGTCTTCTAACTTGCTGATTTTGTTGTATCTGCATCTATTGTGTTTACAGCTTAAAACTATGTGATTTTTGTTATTGTGCTACAATGTTTTTGATGGTTGTTCTTTCTCTCTACTTCTAAATTGAAGAATAGAGTTGTCATATTTCCCATAGTATTAATTAAATTGATTATTATTGGAAGGTAATGCCTTTGTTTGATTCCTTGTACAATTTGTTGTATGGTATCTATAGTCACTGGTGGCTAGTCGCTTGAAATATGTCCAGGGTGTGTAGGCCCAACTGACAAAACACCTCTACTACACAGTGTGTTTACACAGTACACTCAAACATATTAATAATCCTACTTATTTCTTTTCCCTTCATTAGGTGTGCTTTTGCAGCTTAATGTTCTCATTCATTTGTATTTTGTTTCTTTTGGCACTTTCAGGAAATTCAAACATCTTGTGCCGAATACTGTGACTCATGCGAGAAAAAAGTATACCCCCTTGAAAAAGTAGAAACAGGAGGCAAGCTTTTCCACAAAGGATGCTTTCGATGTATGCAGTGTAGTTGTATCTTAAGGTAAGGAAATGTGAAATGTTTTGTGTCATTGTATGTTGGCATCATTAATATATGAAGACCATTACTATTTTTCAGAATGGAGAGCTACACCTTGAATAATGGCAAGCTCTACTGCATCCCCCATTTCAAACAATTATTCATATCGAAAGGAAACTACGACGAAGGGTTTGGTTTGGATCAACATAAGCGCAAGTGGAACAGCACTCGAGAAAATGGTGACATTCTTCTCAGCGGTATTGATGCAAATGGCAATAATCATTAATTGAGCTATCCCAGTCACACATTTGGTGATCTCGGTAATAGAGAATAGTGCCATTCTTTGGATTGGGATGTGACATTAGTCCCTTTTCATATCACTGTGGATGATGTGAACAAATTTTTGGGGTGTAAATTTTTATTTTCTTTCATATTTTTATTTGGTGAAACCACTTAAACTTTGAATTAAATTGAAACTGATTAAAATTGCTACTCTATTTCTATTTTTGTTGTAGTGTAGGTCTGGGTGGTCAGATTTCATTTTATTTTACCATTGTTTGATTTGTTGTATTTTATGTGCCTTTTAATCTTCAAGGTCTTTTATCATTTTATTTTAGAATGTTAAATGTTGATTTAATCTGATATAACTGCAACTCTGTTAGTTCTTCTCTTTTCCTTTTAAAAAAGTGCAAAAGCAGGGACTTTTTTTTGTTTGTTTTTAAAGCATCATGTGAGTTGCAGATACTTTTGTTCTGGTGCAGGTTCTTTAACAGTTTTACCATGATACGAACCAGATATGGAAATGTTTTATATTTTGTTCTCTTCTACTTCAAATCAAATACCTGTATTAGACAATAGTTGAACTTAAGGGTAAATTTGTATATATTGTAAATAGCTCTGTCCAAAATGTGTTTAGATATGCAAAAGATAAAAAAAACTGTTGAATAATTCTTGTAGCTAGGAAGAGCAAAGTCGCTGTATTGTAACCAAGGTCTCAATTGCTATTATTTGCTGTGATGTATTAACCGATTTATGTACTTAGGAACATGTATGGTTAAAATTTTATTTTTCTAGCCAATAAGAATTAAGTTTTAAAGGAATATAAGTCAAAAACTTTTCTATTTTAGTTGTGTGTTTGTACCTAATTTTGAAATCAAAACTAAATGTTTCTGTGATGAAATTTTTAAGGCTTTGCCTTTTTGAAAATATCAGATATGTATGCGATCATGTTGGAGGTAAAGTCATTCAAAGGTATAATTTTGTGTACAAATCAAGTCAATTGATGTCAGTGGTTCAAATTATAGAAACTAAAGTCAAGCTTTCTTTTTGCAAAGCTTGAAGTGGCGAAGTTTTTATTTCAGGCACATATCAATGTGCACTGTGTGCCAACTTTGTCAACGTATTTGTTCACACACTAAGTGAAACACAATGCAACATTACTTTCGCCGCAAAGTTGTCCTGTATACCTTTACATTCCTGCTTTATTCTTACGAAAATAAGAGAATTTTTATGTATTGAAGTATAATGAATTTAAATAAAAGCTATTTATTTCTGCAATATGTCTTTGTGAACTGTATAAGAGACAAATAAATATTGGATGATGTGAGTGCATTC